CCACACTCCCTTATTTTTAACCTCATTTCCTAGAACCTACATAACCTTAGTTCCTTTCTTAATTGCAGAGGTAGATTTTAATTTACCTCTTTGCCAGTTGATTGGCATTAAAGTTGATTTCTCTCAAACCCTGATGTGGATGGCGGATAAGGATAGAAAAACTGGAAAGGAGGAACCACAAGACTAGAAACCTGGCTCACACAATGCCAAGAGTTGGAGGTGGGGATAGAAGGGATGTACATAGACATTAACCCAGCTACAGGAACTAAGATCCTTAGGCACAAGGATCTTAGGCACAAAGTTGTGTACCAGGCACAACCTAGATCACAAAGCACAAAATTCAAGCAGGTATCAGACTTCTGTAGGGGGTGTCAGGAGCTCAGACCTGAAGGTGATGATATGGACATTGAGGGCCACTGCAGAAATGTGGCACTTCAAATTCCACATAGTTTAATCAATGTCAACAGCAAACGAACCACTCCATGAAGGAGTGAGCCCCTCCCAAAGAGTAGTGTATATCGGTGCAGTCTCTGCAGTGGCCAGGGGCAGCAATCCTCTGCCACCTGTGACCACGCAGGTGCTCCTTTTCGCCAGCCCTCTGTCCTTCAGTAGCACAGCAGTCTTCCTTTCTGCCTGTGACCTGTACCATACCCGTGCCGGGCCTTCCCTTCCCTGACCTCCCTCAGCAGAGTCCGTTCTCCTCAAGGCTGCCTGCCTGTGACCATGCAGGCCTTTCTGTTAGCAAACCTGACCCTTTCAGGGCAGCCCTTTCTGCCCACTTGCGTCTGTGCAAGTGTCCTGTATTTTTCTCTCTTTTTTTCCTTTTATAATAAACCTCCCTTTGGATATAACATCTCTGTGTATGGAGAAACTCGCCCGGGAAACTCGACATATGCTGTAAGGGGAGCTCTAGCGAAGCCTTTTCCAGAGTGAACCCAAGGACCCCACTCTCCAAACCTAACAGCTCCCAAAAATGACATCAACATCATGAGTGATCTATGCAGGAGTAGCAGGGACCCCACTGCTCAGTCACACTGAGGTGGTCTGCTTTGTTGCTCATCATCAACTAGTACTCTTTTTCTCTCTTATGCTCCAGATAAAAGACAACTTACCACCCCTGAAGAGGGCCTAAGTGACCCCTGGAAGGACAGTGTCTACAGGCAGTGTCTCTACCTTCAGCTAGAGCGCATGGAGCAGCTCCTGCAGCTGGTGGAGCCCCATCAGGGCTTCTCCCAGACCCAGAGCCACGCCCGGGCCCTCAAGCAGCTGCAGAGCCTGAAGGGCTGCCTGGGAGGACGGAGGGGTACTCCACCCCTGGCTCACATCAGGTAATCCACTCTCCTGAGTAATGAGTGGATGCCTGACCTCCACAGTTGGGGGCCATGAGGACAAGGCATTTGGGGCCACCTCAGAAGGTTGTTCACAGATCTCCCCAAGTAATGGGGTTCAGGGTTCCAGCACCAATTCAGGGAGAAGGGCTTTACATAGGCTATTTGTCAGAAGGCAGCTTAGCCCTCTGTAGATCACTTTGTTGATCACAACTTATAGCCATTTTCTCGTGGGCTATTTCCTGTCTGTGTGCCCTTAGGTAAATCCCTCAGATTCTTTGAGGTGCGGCTTCCTAATCTGTGAAATGGGGATAATTCCTGTCTCATGATTCAGGCTTGAACCCCTGTAAGACAAGCAGTGAGATTTGCTCAGAAAAGTTAAGGACTCAGAAAATATTGGTAATTTTTTCAGGTGTGACCACAGCACTATAATTCAGTTAGAAAAATAACCATTTTTGAGATGTACTCTGAAGTCATTAGGAATGATTTTACATTAAGTCTGGAAATTATTTTTAGCTATGCCAGAAAAAATAAAAAGGATGAGGATAGATGGGATAAAAATGAAAAGGAGCGGGTGGTTGTTGAAACTAGTTGATGAGGGTTCATTGTGCTTGCTGATTTTTAAATGATGAGAAATTTTCCCTAATAGCTTTTTAAAAATTATGTAGTATCAATCTTCTAGGCTTGTCATGAGGAATAATAGAGTAAGTCTGTATACTTCAAGGCGGGACTGACTCCAGTGAGCACTGAAGAAATGTGACCTTAGCAGACTACACCGGGTAGTTCTTCAAGGCGGGTACAGATACAGAAGAGAAGTTGAGGGTCTTGGAGGTCAGGGCCAAGTTCACACAACCAGTGAGGTGGAATGGGATTTGAATTTGCACTGTAGGGGCCACCTGACATTTACCCTCTGTTGCAGCTCCCTTTGGGCGAGCAGGCCCCCTCGAGGCCTGCCCTGGTGGTGTGCCCTGGTGGGCTGGCTCCTGGTGGCGGCCACCAGCGGTGTGGCAGCCTTCTTCACCATGCTCTATGGCCTGCACTATGGGCGGGCCGGCTCCCTGCGGTGGCTCATCTCCGTGGCCGTGTCCTTCGTGGAGAGCGTGTTTGTCACCCAGCCCCTGAAGGTCAGTCTTCTCCCTTCCCCACCCATGCTTTCCCTCCTGTCAGCAGCCCTGTCTTTGGATTTCTGTTGTTCCTTCATTCATTTGCTCAGCCAACCTCCTTAGGCCACCTGCTATGTGCAGCCTCTGGGTTGCCCACTCTGGGTCACATCCAGTGGCTCCCGGAAAGGAGCCACCAGCGGGAGGGCCTGTGCCCCCCTCCGACAGATGAAAAAGCCTGAGGTTAAGCTCACAAACAGCTGTTCTAGGCCACGTGTGTAAATAGGAAAGCACATATTTCCTTCAATTCAAACATGCATTTGTGAGCTATATCAGCAATATTCCGGCTCTTTACTCACTGGAAGGAAAACAAAAACCCAAGGCATTGAGTCTGTGTGTTGACTGGGAGATAGGCTCCAATTACTGAAGTGTAAAATTATGGGATAACACATCAGGGTCAAAGAAATACTGAGCCCCAGCCCAGCTCCCCATGGAAGGAGGTGGGAGGGCGTGGCAGTGCAGGGAAGTGGGGACATTACAGTGAATCTTTATACCTATGAGTCTGCACCCCGATTCTACCCTTTGGTCCCCCATTCTGCCCTGAACCGTCCTTAACAGAATTAACCCGAGACCACCCCAACCTAGTCTGAGTAATTTAAGAAGAGAGGGTGTGTCTGGTTTCTTGTTCAGCAGCCAAGCCAAAGAGCCCTACTAAGCTTGTGCACTGTGAATACTCAGGTCATATCTCGGGATATGCCCTGAGAAATACAGTGTGAGAAATTGTGTGAATGTCATAGATGGCACAGCTGACACACATCGAGGCCACATAGAGGGACCACCATTATGTACATGGTCCTCAGTTGCCTAAAACATCATTACGTGGTGCAAGACTATACAGGGAGAGGGGGGAGGAGAGAGGAGGGGTGGGCATCAGCAGCTGGAAGCTGAAAGGGAGGTAAGAGAATGGGCCAAGGGCAGCAGGTGGGGCTGGGGTCTCTGGCTAGTGGTGGGTGTGCGCACCTTTCATCCTCAGCCTTTACCATGTGCCCTCTCTGTAGGCCCTGGGTTGGTTTTTCATCTGGTTCCCCAGGACCTGGGCTTCTTGTCGAAGGACACATTGTGGCCCCAATCCTGCCACCTCTCAGGCTAGCAGTTGATAGTGTCCAATTCAAACTCACGATGGATGTTTCCCAGGTGCTGGGGTTTGCTGCCTTCTTCGCACTGGTCTTGAAGAAAGTGGAGGATGAGGAAGAGGCTATGGGTCCCCTCTCAGGACATCTGTTCAGCACAGGTAATGGTGCTTGGGTGGAGGAGGGGCTTGGAACCTGATGAGACTGAAAAAGTCTCACAGAGCCCAGCCTCAGGGGTATCCCAGGTCTCATATCCTCTCTCCCCATCTGCCTTTCAACCCCGATTAATGAATCCAGAAACAAATGACACCTTTGTTGTCTTTTGAGCAACCCTATAGTTTCTCGCTGACACCAAAGCAAGACCATTGGCCAAAAGAGGCACTTGGGGGCATCATTCTCCACATAATCCCCAGCAAGCAGCCACCTTCTCTTAGTTTTGGGTCCCTGCCTTCAGAATAAAAGCTGCATTTGCAGCTGGGCAAGAGTTGCTATAAATGAGAGATCCAGGACAGGGGCGTGCAAACTATGGCCAGTGAGATCCATAGTCCACAACCTGTTTTGTGCATATGTTTTACAGGACACAGCCATACTGACCCCTGTCAGAAGAGCCAGTGACCATCTTCCTTACCCCACCCACCTCTCAGTTTCTAACCAAAATTCTTGAGGGTGCTGACAGTAAGTTAATAATTAAAAAAAAAGAAAGAAAGAAAAAGAAAAAACAGCAAATATTACAGAAACAACACCTTAATGGCATGTGCAGAGGTCCTGACTTCCAGGACACACCCACCAAAGCCTGAGTGCCTTCTCCACTGGAAAGCCCGGCCCCCTTTTCGTGGGGTTGTGGTCTTCTACTCCAGGGCAGGGTTCTGGCTTTGAGATGTGAAAGGCTCATTAAAATGTTCTTCTCAAGACAAGTACATAATTTTTCACCGAAGAGATACCATCAGATCAATTAAATATTCACCTGTCATTCCTTTGGCCAGGGAGCGCTGCCATGCACCAGGCAGTGTGAAGACTAGGGAACACCATATATCTACTCATTGTCGCTGTACAATCCATTGACTTCAGTACACTTACACAGTTGAACAACCAGTGACACAATTCAGATTCATAGTAGCTGCATCACTCCCAGAAGCTTCCTTCTTGCCCACTTGAAGTCAGTCCCTAAGCCCCCTACTCCAGAGTTGGAGGGCACAGTACTGATGGGAAGGGATAGGCTGCTGCCTCGGGGAAACATCACACAAAAAAATGCACAAGTAGATATGTAAGTGTGAACTGTAACAAGAACAGTGGATGGGAACAAGAGAGGGAAAACTCCTAGCTGAGATGGCCCTTAAGCTGGCTCCTCAAAGGGAAGCGAAAGGAGGAGTGGTATGCTGGGCATGTGCTCTGAGGTAGGCCAGAGCAATGATTGACAGTCTGGCTGAAGTAGGGAGTTGAGGGTGGGATGGGATCCGAGTGGTCCCATATGAGGGCAGAGTGGCAGGTGGGAAACAGGTCAGGTGGGGCCCTGCTAGATCTGGGTCTGTGCAGGGGTTTTGAAGTGTTTTAAATAGAAACAGCATGGTCTCTTTTGTGATTTTAGGAAGATTACTATCTTCTGTCTGGGAGATTAGGGGAGTTGGGAGTCTAGTAGGAAGATGGCTCCTACAGGTTAGAGAAGACAGGACAGTGTGCAGAAGGGCATGGAGCTGAAAGACAGCTGGGTCAGTATGCTCTTGTTACAATGGCTACAGTGAAATCTAATGATAACACCAAATGTTGACAAGGACATGGAGAAACTGGAGTGTTCAGCACTGTTAGTGAAATGGTAAGCCACTTACTTTGACTTACTTTCAAAACTTACTTACTTTCAAAACTAAAAGTGAACCTAACACACATATCAGTAGTTGAACCCTTGTGCATTTATCCCAAAGAAAGGAAGACCTACTTTCCTACAGAAACTTGTCCACAAATGGTCATAGCAGTCTCATTTGCAATAGTCAAAAGATATTCACCACCGGTAGGAATTGACCCAAGGGAAAAGAAAACATACACCCACATGAACAACTGCACAGAAGCTTCATAGCGGTATTTATCATCACTGACACTAGAAACAATCCAAAATGCAATACAGCCACATAATGGATTGCTGCTCCACACAATGAGAACTGCCCACTAACACACACGCCATCAGGGTGAGCCCCAAAATATGGCAGTGAGTCAAGGAAGTCAGATATGGGAAATTATATACTGTGTGACTCCATTTACACGGAATGGCCAGACAAAAAAACCTGGGGAGGCAGAAAAGAAGAGTGATGTTGAGAGACAGACTTCAATGGGACTTGAGGGAAACTTTTGGGGGCCATTAAAAGGTCCTAAAGCTGGGTTGTAGTGATAGTTGTACAACTATATAAACTCACTAAAACACCTGAATTGTATGCTACGGATGGGGACATTTATGAAACGTATTGCTCAATTAGGTGTCTGGAAAAGAAGGTAGCTCGAATCAAATGTGACAGCATAGTCTTTCTGTCCAGGAACACAGACAGGTACATTCAGGAATCAGGATGATCGCAAGGAGAGGAGGGGATCTATGCCCTCAGCACAAGAATTCTCTAGATGGAAAAGGCAGAATTCCAGGAACTGGGATGGCCTGGGCAGAGGCATGCAGGGTAACTCCAGGAAACAGTTCCCAAGGCAGAGATGCTATGGACTCATTGAACCTGATGAGACAGGAGTCCTCCTGTTGCAAATACAGAGACTGGTTCTACTGCCCATTTGGTAACTGTCCTTATGTCCTGGTTTCCACAGACTCCTCTGCCTTGTTCCGAACCCGAAGAAACAGCAGACGGGACATCTACCAGCCTCCTCTGGCTGCTGACATTGAGAAGATGAAAAGTATCCACCGCAAGGAACAGAAAGCATTTGCTCTTATCGGAGAAATACTGGGTAGGCAGTGGGCTTACCCACAGGCCATCCTCCCGCTTGCTGCTTCTCAGCACAGCCTTGAACAGAAGAGGCACAGCCTCTGATGAGTCCACGCTGCTCTGGGCCCTTTTCCTACACAGTAACTGGCCCAGCCTCTCCCCTACAGTTAAACGCCTACAGGGGTTCCTCATGACCATGTGGATAAAGTCCACCCTCCTGACTGGCCCAGCTACGATGGGCCACCTCCTTGGCGCCTGGAGTTGCATAGCTCCACATCCCTGACCTCAGGAACTTGTGCAGGCTGTGACAGCCAGTCAGTCCGTCCCCTTCCACCTCTGCTTCTGGCTAATTCTTAAAGTCTTATTCTTAAAGTCTCAGCCAAAGCCTGTATCTGCAAACAGGCCTAAGTGGTCTGATCTGAACTTTTTAAACCACAGTGTGTGTGTTGGGGGGGGAGGGGTTGCCCCCACAGGTAGATTTGGGTAAAGTTGTTGAGCTGGGAGGTGCCCTGAGAGACACTGGTAGGCAGAGGGGCAGAAAAAGAAGCCAGTGGTAATGAGTGGTCTGCAGTGGGCCACTTGGGATTAGTCCTGCTGGTGACCTGAGTGGGGCATGTAATACAGACCCTGGGTTATTATCAACCAGCCATGAGCAAGAGCTGCTCCCAAGGAGGGCCCTGACCCAGCGCTCCTGGCCTGCTCTCCACTGGCTGAGCACACGGCCAGAGCACAGAGCAGGAGGGCTGGGGGTTCAGGGAAGCCTGTATTGGAGGAGCAGCAGGCAGGGAAGGGAGACCGCCCAGGTGGCAGGTAGACATGTTTGAGGGGATGCAGACCCTGGGTGAGGCAGACTCTGCGAACGGAGACTCTGGGTCAGTAAGACTTGCACCCCTAGCTAATTCTGATGTCCAGCCTCCTATACCAAATCCCTGTACCTAAAGCACCCAGCATCACCCTCAGCTCCCACAAAACAGGTGGGCCTCATGAGGGCAAAGAACACAGCTGTCATCTTCATTGCTCTCTCCACAGCAGTGCAGTATGGCAGAGGTCCCACTTTAAAAATACTATATTAAAGAACAACTATATAGTATAAACTCAGTACAGGTTTACAAATATTAACTTGTTGCCTGAGTCATCACAACCCTATGTGACAGGATTATCTCTTTCACAGATGAGGAGGGTGATGCACGGAGGGGTTAAGTGACTTTGGAAGGGCACACAGACAAGAAGTGGCAGAGCCAGGATTTGAACTCAGGGGGCATGTGGTCCTTTTCACTGGCTCTGGGGGAGTAAGCAGCTGGTCTGTAAGGCCTGACCGTTCTGCATCCAGGCACCACTCCACCATCTGCCCTGGGCTGGACTGTGCCTGACCAGGGGCTGACCTCCCTTCCCAGCATACCTAGGCTGCCTGTGGATGCTGCTGCTGGTGGCCTATGGGCAGCGGGACCCCAGTGCCTACCACTTCAACAGACACCTGGAGCACAGCTTCACCCAGGGTTTTGCCGGAGTGATGGGCTTCCAGGACTTCTTCACATGGGCCAACACCACCCTCATGAGCAACCTGTACAGTCATCACCCAGGTAGGTCCATGAGCCTCAAGACCTTGTGAGCACATTCCTTTTTAGGAACGGGTGTCATTCACTGTAAACATACGCCTTTGAGAGAACCAATCAATGGCCACAGGGCCTCACGCTTTAAAGGTGATCCCTTTGTATGAACAAGGAGCCTACCCTCACCCTGAGATGCAAGGTGGAGTACTGACCACATGAGCACTAACTTAGCAGGCAGCAGGGACAACTTGAGGGAAAGCAAGCCTGAAACACCATGGCACATTCCTGTACCACAGAGTGTGCAGCAGGCCTTGGTGGAGGGTAGGAGTTGAAGGCAGGTGAGAAACAAAGCAGGAGAGACAGGGCCCAGATCATCAAGGGTCTTGGATGAGGAGAAACCATTGGGAGCTTCTTCATGAGGCAGTAATGTCACTAACCCTGAGGAGCAAGACAGGCCATTCTGGAAACACGTAGAAGTTGGACTGAAGGGAGTGGAATGCTGACAAAAGTGATGGAGCTGAGAGCCTTCCTAGTGGCACAAGGGGTATGTCTCAGTGTTATCACTGCTATAGCCTGAGTTTGATACCCAACCAGGGAGCTGACCCACATATAACACAGCAGACCTCTCCTGTCTCACTTGCTGCTCCCCTCAGCAATGCATTTCAATAGATGAGCCTGTTCTGCTCCCACTGTGTCTCTGGTGAATCCTTTCACCCCCTTAACCCTCACATCTTTGGTCTATATCCCACTTCTACACATAAATAATTTTTTTTTTAAAAAAAGAAGAAGAAGAAAGAAAGAAAGTCCCCTTAGGGACTGATTCAGGGCTGGGAGGCTGGGGTGAGGGAGAGAAGAGGATGGAGGAGACAATGTGAAGAGGGCCTGTGGGCCATTAGAATGTGGACACTCAGGGCAAGAGCACAGCTAGTCTCCAGGTTGGTCACAGGTGATAGGGACTCCCTTCCCCAGGATGCAGACCAGGCCCAGGGCAGGGAGGCTGTGAGGAATGCAGCCTATGGTTGGCCATAAACTTGACTGTCTACGACAGGGACACCGAAGTTCACATGAACACCCCGGCCAAGTAGTCTAGAGCACAAGATGACTTGGGTGGCTAGATTAACCTGCCCTGGTTTTCACCTTTAGGCTTCATCACTGATGGGAACTCCAAGCTAGTTGGCAGTGCACAGATTCGCCAAGTGAGGGTTCGGGGAAACTCCTGCCCTCTTGCTCAGCAGCTGCAGGCCTCTCTTGATGGGTGCCATGCGCCATATTCCCTGGACGTTGAAGACCTGTCAGACTACGGAGAAGGCTGGAATGCCTCCTTGCTCAATACCAGCAATGGCCTTTCCCAGGCTTGGCAGTACCAGAGCCAGAGTCAGCGCCGAGGGTATCCCATCTGGGGCAAACTCACGGTGTACAGGGGAGGAGGTTATGTGGTCCCATTAGGGACTGATCGCAAGAGCATGTCAAGGTAAGGCCCGTTTGACTCACAGGCAACTGAGGAAAGCCACTCGCTACAGCTCAGGTCTGATTGATGGGTGCAACCTTCAAGGCTTGTTCACGTCATTGAGAGAGGGGCTGGGAGATTCACAAGGCTTCAGGTTCTATTTCTAGTCCCCTGAGAACTATGCAATACCAAAGCTAGAACCAAAGTTTCTTTCCAGCATTTTCAGCTGGGTGGTCTGAGGCTGGTGGCTTCTACTAGAGCTTGTGCAGGCAGTTCTCTTTTGGAGAGCTGTCCAAAGCCTGGCCAGCAGGATGGGTTCAGGCTGAACCCTCCCAAGAAGCATACAGGCTCCAGGCTTTCCTTACCTGTCTGACACAAGCTAGCCTATTTCCTGTCATGGGTGTTGGCAGAAGGCAAAAGGTCTGGGTCGGGACAAAGGATCCTCTTGTTCATAGCAAAAGCAGTAGCAGAGCTTCATGGTGGTTTAAATCAGGTCCCCAAATAGGGTGGTGGTGGATGCCCATATAGGCAGCAAGTTGTGTTGCCAGAGACAGCCCTGAACTTGCAGCATTCACTAATTTTGTAGCAATAGATGAAGACCACTCTTTGTCTAAAGGAAAGTGTCACCTCACCCCTCGGGCTGCTCACTGCAAATTCAGCCCTGAGAAACGGTCTGGGTAGAGCCGTGTGTTCCGGGAATACTCCCTAGCATGTGCAAGGACACAGGCTACCCCTGCCAGCACACTGGTCTCAGGCCTCTGTGCCTGTGTAGCCCCAGGCTGGCTGGTGAACCTAAGTCTCCTTTGGTATTATTACAACACCCAGGTTGTTGTGTGGGTGGGATCCCATCTGCCGTCAATGATCCCCAAATGAAAGCAAGGGACAGGGTGAATGGGAGAGGATTTTCAGAGGAAGAGGTAATTTCCTACCAGTTGGAATGACTAACACTTTCTGCTTTTATGGACCAAGGATTCAGACTCAAGGGAAATGGGCCATATTTTAAAACAGGCCCATTATTATTGTTCTAGGTAATAACAGCTATCATTCCTACAAACACACACACATACACATTTTCTCCTCTCACTGATGTTCAGGTGCTGATGTTAACACTAATGCAGGAGAAGGGAGGGCCAGAGAAGTTATTAGCTTGTCCACAGTGCACTTGGGACTAAAACCCAGACCCTCTTGGGAAGCTCTCCAAAAAGAAGTCTCTTGTGAGCTGCCAGCCCAGGAGGACAGCTGCTGCCCCTGCCTACTCCCTGACAGTCTCTAATCCTGAAGTCCTCAAAGTTACAGAACACCCTAACTCCAGAGGACTCTTCAAAGCCCAAAGCCCTGGGCCTTGTCCCCATAACTTCTGATCCAGGAGACCTGGGTGAGGCCCATGTAGCTGCATCTCTAACAAGTTTCCAGATTTTGCTGGTCTGGACCACACTTTGGGAACCTATGCTCTGCAGGCAGAGACTCAGGGAACAAGGCTTGCACATGGGCCGGGAAACCCATTCCTCCAGGAACAGCCCCAAGGCCATCTGGTACCGGGAACAGAGAGGGGCAGATGGAGAAGTTTCCATAAGAAATCCTAACCTCCTCCCTGGGCTGAGGCAGGGAGCCACTGGGATGACATGCCCCTCGTTGCCCCTCTTCCCACAGAATTCTCCAGTATCTCTTTGACAACACCTGGCTGGACAGACTGACCAGAGCAGTGTTTGTGGAATTTACAGTCTACAATGCCAACGTCAACCTGTTCTGCATCATCACTCTGACCCTGGAGACCAGTGCCCTGGGTGGGCAAGCTTACCGTGAACCCACCAACAGTGTTCAGAAGATGGAGACCTCTCCCTCCGGCTAAGGCTCCTGACCCAGCTGGGCCCAAACACCCTAGGGACAAATGGCTGTGTGGGAAATTGGGGGGTGGGTGTTGGTTTTCCATGCAGCTGTGCTCCCCGGGGCACCCAAAGGCAAGATTTCAGGGCTGCCCCTCCCCCATACCTCTATCTAGCATTTTCTCCTAAGTTATTCTGAAGAATAACCCATTCTTCTTATTCTGAAGACCAGTTGGGTTCTGAAGTTAGCTCACATGAGTTTCCCACTCTAGAGGGGAGTGGGTAGAGGCTGGCAGTGAGAGGGGATAACCTGTTAGAAGATACCTACACCTGAAATGGTATTTCCAACTAGTACCTCAAGCCCCAGTGAATTTTAGGCATATTGGTCAATAGGGAAGGTTTTCTTTAGTAAACACTCTTTAGATACAATCAATTTAAAAGAGGCAGTTTGGGGTGAGTTGCTGTGGCTGGAGGTGACTACAAGCTCCATGAGAAGCATGTTTCTCACCACAGTTGAACACCTACATGCACAAATATACACAACTGAGACAAAATAATATTTCCCTTAATTACACATAATGTGCTGTTTGTGTGTTCTAGTGCATTTCTTCCTCCTTCCAGCTTTTATTGCTAATCACAATCTCTTCAAGATTTTACCTAAGGCCTCTTCAACTAATAAGCAATTTGCCTAAAAGTCAACCACCTCTCTTTGAAAAATGAAACATTTTTTTTTCAGTATTACATTGTTATCAAAGTAATAGGCAGATAGAAGTTTTGGAGCGTTATTTTGCTGTTGTTATATTTCAGAACTGTGTAAAGTGAGAACTTTCAGTACCTCTTCCCACTGCTGAAAGTCTCTTTCAAATCTTCTCGAGCATTTAGTTGTATCTTTTTCTGTTCTGTTCCCCTATTTTTGGGTCATCTTTTTAACTTTTTAAGGACCTCAAACAACTTGTCCAAATGAGAAGTGTGGGCAGGTTCCAGCCTTGTTGATTCAGCAGCCCACTGACGTCAGCAAGAACTCAGCTGCCTGCATTTCTCCACTGCCAACCTTGCAGCTGGCTCCTTACAGGCAGCAGCCCCATGATTTAAAAAAAATCATAACAAGGCCTGAAAGAAGGGGAAAAGCACATGCATGGATGAAAGATGATTCAAAAGGTTGACTTTCAAGCATATTGGTCAGTAGGGAAGGGATCTCTAGTAAACTAACTCCTTTTAGATGAAATGGATTTAAATGAGGCAGTTTGGAGTGAGTTGCTGTGGCTGGAGGTGACTACAGATGATGATTCCACCAAGGAGAGGGTAGGGTAGGAGGCAGTCAGCTACTGCAGTTCCCTGTCCTTTCTGATGTCTCTGTTATCTCTGGGGTCCACGCCTTGTCCCGTTCAGTCCCTTAGGGCGACGGCCCTGAAAGACCTTTATTTGCTCCCCACCAGTCTTGGGAAGGGCTTGAGTATGCACCATCCAATGACCACAGAAGGGTAGCTCTGCGTGGGTGGGTGGCTAGGGACAAGCAGAATGTTCTGTGCTTCCCAGGAACCTTCTTTGCTCATGCAAACCTGCAGAGTCTGCGCCTGTACCCCTTCACTGACGGCTGGCACCCCTTACTGGTGGCTGCAGAGGTGGTCTACTTCCTGTTCCTCCTCTACTACATGATCGTGCAGGTAAAGGGCGGAGTGTGGCTCCCTGTGGAAGGGATGCACGTGGTGGTATCTGCTTTCTGACCCTGTCCTTTTTCCTTGGGTAGGGGGCCAAAAGAGTGGAAGGGAAAGGTCCTGCTCCCCTGTTTGCCATGACTACCTTTCAGGCCTTCTGCTAGTGTCAAAGGCACACCCAGATCAGTCACCCAACGTGGACACCTCTCAGGAACTGAGGCTCAGAGGATGACTCCTCATTCCTGAGTAGGAAGGCCAGAGGAGCAAGGTTCCTGTCTCTGTTGAACTGAGACCCATTTTTTTCTGTTCAACTGAGATCTCCCAAAAACGGCCCAAGTGGGGTAGGGTAGAGGTAGAGGTGGTGTCCCCACAGCTATGGTATTCTCTGAATTTAATTCTAAATTAAATTAAGGGGGTCTTTTTATATAATCTGGGACATCTTTTTATATAACTAGGGACTTCTAACATCTTTTCTTTATATCTGTGATCCCTGAGAATCAGATAAAATCCTTTTTGCCACCTTTAGCAGCATGTTACACAAAAAGGGCACAGATGCTGATGATGATGACGGCTTGAGGATGCTGGGAACTCATCTAAAGCCTGACATATACCCCCACTGCTCCCTCACCCTGACTTTAAAAATGCAAATCAGGGCCCTCCCAGGTGGCACACTGGGTTAAAGCTCAGAACTAGGAAGCCAGCTACAGCCAGTTTAGCATGAGTTCGATCCCCACCAGAGAGGTGACCTGCATGGCGTGGCAAACCTCTCCTGCCTTGTCTGATGCTCCCCTCAGCAGTGTACTTTATCAATCTGTCTGTTCTGCTCCCCGCTCTGTCTGTAGTGAATCTTCTCACTGCCCCTGCACTCTGGCCTGTACCCCAGTTCTTGTATGCATGAATAAATGTTTTTTTTTTTAATGCAAACCAAAGACCTTAAAAGGGCATGTTAACATCATAACCTACTCCAACAACCTCTTTAAAGTCAGGATGATGCTTTGAGTGCCTATCGCATGGCCAGCACTGTGCTAAGAACCTCCCATGATTATTTGCCCCTTAACAACACTAGGAGAAAGGGTCTGTTGGATCCAATTCACAGAATAGGAAGCTAAAGGGCAGAGATATTTAGTAGTTTACCAAGGTCAGAATTTGAGTCCAGAGTCTGAGCCATGACCTGACACTCAACTTCCAGGGCACACCAGAAGCCTCATAAACAGGGATCCCATAGCACCAACTCAAACCCAACAGTCAACAGTGATCAGTTATCAAACCGTGACATAAGTCCTTGCACCTTGCTAAGAACACCAGAGGAGCCATTTCATCCCTGCTTCCATTACTTTCCTTTCTTTCATTGCCCTGTGCCTACAGCTGTTTCTGAATGCCTCACTTCAAACCTTCAAATCTTCCTTAAAATGCTGCTTGAGCAGCTTAAAGAAAATCTCCCCTTCTCTTCATCCTTTTCTAACATAAAGGAACTTAGCCTCTGACCAGCCAAATACCAGTAGGAGGGAAACGGAGGCTGAGAACACACAGGGGGCCATTTTATATAACCTGGGACATCTTTGAGGACAGAGAATTAAAATACAAGTCTCTGACCAGTTCAGAAAACCTCTCCACAAAGACAAGAAGAAATCTACTTTAAAAACTGGTGGTGATGGCACATGGGTGAATTGGTGGTGAGAAGCCCATGAGGATTACAACTGAGGTGGAAAAAAATACACTAAATGAAGAATGATGTAAAAAAAAATTTAAAAATAATAAAAAATATGTCTAAATAAAGTTTATTAATTAAAGTATACCCAAAATAATAATAATAATTTTACTTGTGGTAAGTACACATAATATAAATTACCACTTTAAAAATGCACAGTTCAATGGCCATAAGTCCAATCACATTGTTGTGCAACCATCACCACCACCCAGCTCCAGAAATTTCTCCTCTTGCAAAACTGAAGCTTCATCCATTAAACAACTCCCTCCTGCCCCCTAAGAAAACAACTTTCATTATTTGTTGAAAAAGCATGAAATCAGAGTGTGATGTGCATCCCAGGCAATCTGCGAAAGAGATTGCAAAAACAGAAAGAAATCTCACCCTGGTATAGGGCCAGGCAGATGCAGGCACCAGGGAGGAAATGTGGGCTTGGCTCACGGCCACCACACTGAGCAAACATGGCAGTAAGGCGAGCCACATGACTGTCTGGCTTCCCAATGCATGTAAAACTATGTTCACACCCAACTGTCACCTAAGTGTGCAGCAACAGCATTATATCTTAAATACAAACAAACAGAACAAAAACACCAATGTGGCCCTCCCTGGTGGCGCAGCGGGTTAAAGCGCAGCACTGAGTTCGATCCCCACCTGCCCCGGAGGTGACCACATGGTGTGGCAGACCTCTCCTGACCCGCCCGCTGCTCCCCTCAGCAGTGTACTTCGTCGATCTGCCTGTTCTGTTCCCCACTTTGTCTCTGGTGAAGCCTCTCACCGCCCCTGAGCCTCTGGCCTGTACCCCAGTTCTGTATGCACAAATAAATAAATCTAAAAAAAGAAAAAAAGAAACCAAAAACACCAATGTGCATATCTCAACAAACCATCCTCTGAGTCTTTGGCAAGTCTTACTTGTTTTGCTGGACGGTTCTGTGAAAAACTCAAAGTTGTAAGCGCAATACAGTGAAGCACAATAAAACAAGGCCTGCATATACAATGTGTTACACAGGGCTTAAGGTAAAGGCAAACTAGTCCTTAAAGAACTTATTGCGCCTTTTGTCCCACAGGTCCACCCCAAATTCACATGGCTGGATTCATCCTTGTGCTCATCCCCTTTGCTATCCCCATTGTTGAAAGGAAAAGTAAACTTCTCATTTGTTTATAACAGGACATAGTTTTGCATTTGAGTCAGTGAGGCCCCTACTCTCCCTAGAACACCCAGAGAGAAAGGCACTCTTCCTTGAAGACTGTATTTTAAATAGCTCCCAGGTCCCTGAGAAAGACATTCTTGAAGTGTAAAATTGGCAAGAGACTTGTTTAGCTTTTAAGGAGTATTACATATACCTCAAAGGCACAGAGAAAGAAGTCAGTCACAACTTTTCTAAAGTAAATCCTTCCATGACATGGGGGGGGGGACCTTTTCCTTCATCTTCTCTGCCCACCCCCCAACCCCCAACTTACTTTGCATCAGAGAGGATTACATAGTTTTCCTATTAGATACTACAGTTACTCTTATACAAATCCTGCAGTTTGAAGGATCTATAACCCTCTGTAACCACAGGGTCATCCTGGATTGTGTGGGGAACCTCAGACCCAACAAGGATGCAGCTATTGAGGGGGTACCACATTCTGGCCACAGCCTTTGCAGAACCTCTGATTCCTTTCCCAGGGCAAGCTCATGAGGAAGCAGAAATGGTGTTATTTCCACAGCAAGTGGAATCTGCTGGAACTGGCCATCATCCTGGCCAGCTGGAGTGCCCTGGCAGTGTTTGTGAAGCGAGCCATACTGGCAGAACGTGACATCCAGCGCTACCGGGACCACAGGGAACAGTGAGTGATTTTGTGGCAGACCCCAACTCCATCATTCATCCTCCTTCCTCATCTCTATGCGGCTCAGGCATGAGGTGGAGGCTTTTGAATCTTATTGACTCACAGTTCTAACCAAATTATAGCTACCACTTTGATTCAAGTTGGGACCCTAAACATAGACAATTTAAAACAAAATAGAACAATATCTTACTTCTGCAAATCTTACCAAAACACAGAACCAAGTGACTTCTTGTTGAGGTCCCACTCTTTTGGGCAGGGCAGGGCAGGATGAATACCCCAGTAAGCAAGCCCCTGTTGGCTGTCATTTACCAAGAGTCTGCTCTTCTAGGCTGATACACTTCTAAATCTCTGGATCCCTATTTTACAAATAAAGAAACTGAGGCTCAGAGAAGTAATGTGACTTTCCCAAGGTCATGCAACTTACAGAAGTGGAAGAGAGGAATTTAAACCTCCCGTGTGTGTCCCCAGGATCCCAGGCCTTACTCTGAACCATGTGTTTTTATGACTGATTATACAGATACAACTGACATCAAGTTATTATTTTTGTTGAGTGCCCTATAGTCATGAAAACACCACTTTAAAAAGCATTATTATGGCCCTCCCTGGTGATGCAGTGGGTTAAAGCACAATACTGGGCCCTCCCTGGTGGCGCAGCAGGTTAAAGCACTGCACTGAGAATCTAAAGCCACTTCCACATGGGTTCGATTCCCGCCTGCCCCGGAGGT